TAACAGTAATGATACTTTATAGTTATTTTATTTATTTTATTTTATTTTATTTCATTTCATTTTATTTTTAAGGAATCTCCACATCCAATATAGGGCCTGAACTACAATCCAAAGATCAAGAGTTGCATGCTCCACCAACAGAGCCAGCCTGGTGCTCCTATAGTCCCCCTTTTTTTTTTTTAATAAAAAAAAATAGGGTGCTTTCACTTATGAATGTGATCATTTTAATATTTTGAGAAATCAGCCTTCAACATTTTGGAAATTAGGTTTTTTTCACTGATAAAACTTTGAATATTTGTGCATTAGTTTTATTTCATGCCTCCAAAATGGGATAAAACTTACCAAAATTTTAAGTCACAAACCAGTACATTGTCTGTTGATCGTAGGCTTCCACGTTAAATCATAAGAAATGGTAGGTAAGAGGAATCTTCATCTTGAAAACATACCCAAATTTAAATTCTAAAACTTTTTTTTGATTGATTAGTCGATGTTGGTGTCACAGCATCATATGCAGTGACAGAGGGAATGGCCAGGTTTTTATCAGCATTCATCTCACACTAAATTTTGAGAATTTAGTAGTTTTTAAACTAGTTTTTCACCTCCTGACAGGTGGCTTCCAACTCTAAAAGTATCTTGACTTATTTCTGTACCATACATTCAAAAAATAGTTACTGATTACATATACTATTCTAGATACTGCACTGGTCACTGGGGAGTGAAGGATGACTAAAACAGTCGTGGCTCTCAAGAATTCCCCAATGGAATGAGCTTTTGCTTCTTATTCTTCAAGTGGCATCAATTCTAAGCAACCAAAAGTATCAGGGATTTAAGTAGCATTCATACCATCATTAAATGTAGATTAGGCCAGATGATTTTTCAAACACCAGGTTTAATCAAAGAAAGGACAAGAATGTTCTTTGGGCTTTCACCTTGATGAGTGTAGTTATCTATCCTTGGGATGTAATAATAGAACTCAGTGAGTAATGCATCAGCTACAGCCCTATGGGATCCAAAATGAACAATAGTTTCTCCAGCCGTTGACTTCCAATAGACAGCCAAGGCACTTTTAACTTACCCTGCCAAGAAATCACCAGTGAACAGCAATGATGGTAGATGTTGACTATTTACTGCCGCGAGGTTGAGAAAATTAGTGAGCTACATTGCACTACTTGTCAAGCATTTTGACATCTTGGAACAGAAAGTGCTGTTTAAATATAAAGAGCATTTTCCGTTGAATTGCTGTTAGTCATCTCTGTGAGGAAATGACCTATCAAGTAATAGACCAGAATATAGGAGAACTGCCATGATAGAAGATTGATTTCTGCTAAAGAGACCTTAAAGTAACTATGTGTTTCAATTTGTGGTTGTTTACAATCATTTGTAAATTACCAAGGTAAAAACCCAATATAAAAAGCTATTTGAATGCACTTTCCAGCACAATTTCCTGGGCTTTCCTGCCTCCTCCATCCCCCACCAGCCCCTTCTCTTTCTGGCTCTCTCTCTCTCTCTCAGACCAGGAGAGAATGAGTCTCAGGCTTAAATGTGAATCGGGAGGTCAGAACGCTTGTCAAAACAATGATGTGGGGGGCCCCACCTGATAATTTCCATTTCTAACAAGTTCCTAGGAAATACTTTTTGCTTGTATATATTTGATGAACCATTGCTCAAGGTAAAAGGTTTTGGGGACTTGGGAAGAGGAATGAGAGACTTATGAAAAGCTGAAGCTGGTCTCTGATCTTGCTTACTGAGGTGTCCAAGAGGTTGGGAAGATGATTGCTCCTGCCCTGGGGAGTCCATTGAAAGTAAATGGCTGTCCTCTGAGTGGGTGATTGGCCTAGGGCAGCCTGTACAGCACTACTTTTCCCACTCTTAAACCCAGGTTTATAGTTTAAGAAGGCATTTTACCGCTCTTTGCTCCAATTTTCTCAGGTGCAAAGTAGTAATGGTACTTTCTCTTCTCTGTTATTAAAAAATAAGACAAAACAAAACAAAGCACATAAATCCTGATGGTACTTTTACTTACATTGAAAATTCTTTGGATTTATTATCTATTACTCTAATGTAGTTTAAAAAAAAAGTTATAAAAATTTAGCAAAATCTTTCCATGAAGATTTTCAGTTTTTAATCTTAAGTATTTAGTTAAAAATACCAAAAACCTGTTCTTTAGTGCCTGGGGCTAGACATTTCCTTGTCTCTAAGAGAGAAGGAGCTACAAGGGTACAAGTACTTAAAGAAACTCTCTAAAAAGCCCTGTCTAATCTGTACCACCTCCACTGCCATCAGCTTTCCACTTTATCCACTATTCTTTTTAAGGTTTCCACACCAGGAACGCCAGCCTCCTGACTGTGCTTTCAAAACACAGCATTCTCCCATTCAAAGGACCTTGCATTTACAATTTTATCTGCTAGAAATGTTCTAGAAAAACAGTCCATATGTGTACAACTAGAATATTATAATAGTAGATATAATAACAGGATAAAACTACCCTCAAGTCTCTGCTCAAAAGCCACTTCATTAGTGAAGGCTTGATCATCCTATAAAAAAGAACTTTTGCACATGAACATCCAAGTGCAACATTTACCCTTGCACACATTAATACACACATGCTCTTATCTCATCCCTGATAAACTTTTTCTCCAATATTTGTCTCCATCTGACAGACATTATAGTTTACTAGTGGTTTATTTATTGTCTCCTTGACAGCTAGAATGCAGATTCCATGATGGTAAGGTCTTGGTTTTTCACTGCAGACCTACGACAATCACTTGCATATAAAGTTTTATTTATTTAAATGATCTCTCCACCCAATGCAGGGCTTAAACTCACAACCTTGAGATTAAGAGTCAAGTTGGTCTACTGACTGAGCCAGCCAAGTTCCCTGAAAGATGATATATTCTTACAGTAGATTATCCACTACAAATTTGGTATCTCTTGTGTTACTTACTCAGGTGGCTCTTACACTTCAGTTTTACTTAACTATTGGCAGTTCTTTAGAAGCACCATTGCTCATGCATGTTATTACCCTGAATGTTCATTTCTGAACATTTTTGTTGTTTTTCACTTTCCTATGTTTTCTTTAAAATAAATCAGATGTCCTCTTCTCAAAAAGTAATTCATGATAAACTTGTTTATCATGTGTCCCCTTTCTAATTGTAACCCTTATTCTGGGACTTCACCTACTCATTATATTGTCTGTCTAGTAGAAAGTCATGCCAGTTTTACTGTGAACCACTTGAAAACAGGATCTGTTCACTATTTCTAGCATCAAAAACACAATGCCTAAATGCCTGGCACATGGAACTACTCGTAAATGTTGAATGAATGAACAATAATCTTCCTTTATTTCCCCTCATCATGATAAGATACTCTTTGTTATTCTACACTCCTAAAATTGCCCTGGGATATCAGACTAATAAGGAATGCTCAAGAGAATAGATACTTATGACAATAACCAGTCAGAAGATCAACTAAGCAAAGTCTTAAACTAGAGTAATTCCCAAACAAGGACAAGGAAAGAGGCATTCAGGCTCATTTAGATAGGGGTAGTAAGATGCTGGAATCTGCACCGCCATGAAGAAAACCACTGCTTCTAATACTAATGAAAGCGAATCTTTCAGGTATGTGGCAGTAGATCATGATAAAACTCTTCAGAAAATCTGTTTCTGGACTTTACCTCATCAGACATCACTTGGTGTGTGATGAGGTAAACATTCATTTTACTATGTAATTGGTTTAGAAACTATTCCCCTAAGGGGAGAAAGATTCTTAGTCTGATTTTGCTGCTTCAACGAAATACCACCAACTGGGTGGTTTCTAAACAACAGAAATGTGTTGCTCACAGTTCTGGAGACTGGAAAGTCCAGGATCAAGGTGCCAACATGGTCATCTTATGTTGAGGGTCCTCTTTGGAGCTCATAAGTTGGCACCTTCTCCTTAATGTCCTCATTTGGTAGAAAGGGCAGAGGATTTCTCTGGAGCCTCCTTTATAAGGCACTAATCCCATTCGCGATGGTTTTACCCTCATGACTTCAACTCCCAAAGGCCCCATCTACTAATGCTATATCACATTGGACATTAGGATTTTGACATATGAATTTGGTGGGAACACAGACATTCAGACCATAATAGATGCATAAGAGTCAAATCTTGTTCTAAAGTTTATAGCCTGGAAGATAGGCAGAATTTGGAGATGTTCAGATGGTATATATCTTAGTCTTACATCTTTGAAGATGGTAATGACCCATGCCAGCAGACAGATCCTGCACACAATTAAGAAGAAAAAACTGTGCATTGTGAATGAGAGTGTTTGCCTTGGCAGAAAGGTGTTTCATCTCTTTCTTCTATGAGTGTATTATGCATAATGTTAACAAGACACTTAAATATGGGAAATCTGAAGCAAACAATGATAGACCAAAAAAACAAAACAAAACAAAAAAAAGCCCAGGGAAATAAGGTGAGTCAGTGTTATCAAAAGGCAGAGGTGGTCTATTGGTAGCCCTAGAAATCAACTGTGAATAATTTAAGTTGATTAAACATAGCATAAAAAATGTGGAGGAAAAGGTTGGTGAGATCAACTAACAGGCAAAGCAAATAGTTTTCTCAACAGTAACATTTTTGCTATATTGAAGAAAGTCTGTATATGATAAGAAATTGAGAAAATAATTACAGCAGTTCCTTTCTCAGAAGGCTAGTTCTAATGAGAACTCTACCTCAATGTAAGCTGAATCAGTTATTTTAAAGCACAAGTAAATAAGTTACGGCCTCCAGGCCAAATCCATGCTTGAGCTAAGAATGGTTACTATGTTTTTAGACAGTTGTAAGAAAAGAAGAAGAAAAAAAAGAAGAATATTCACTAGAGACCTAGATAGCTCACAAAGACAAAAATATTTGTTACCTGGAGGGTTTAAATTTTTAAAGATAAAATTAATTTTCATATTCATTATATATATAAATGAATATAATAAACAGATAAAGAATAACAAATGAATATTATATACCTATAGTGAATGTGAAGATTTATATGTACACAATTCATCCTTTTGTAGGGCTATGCTAATCTTCTCTGTATTGTTCCAATTTTAGTATATGTGCTGCCAAAGCGAGCACTATGTACACAATTCAATATGTTGTAAGAGAACAATTTTGTTTTACACATTGTAGGATTTCATACCCTACAGGGTGGATTGCTGGATGAGAGAAAGAGGAAAAAACTATTTACTGGTTTCATAGTTCATTGGAGTCAAGAAGTGAGAACAACGAACCAAGTTCACTTCATTTTTGCAATTATAATCTCACAGAAGAAAATGAAGTAAAAAATGTAAATCTGATTGTGGGAGATACATGGAAGGATTGAATGAAAAAGGCAATGAAAGGGTATAAATCACTTCTTTGAAAGCTCTAATAGTAGGAGGACAGTAAGAAATAATAATGGAGGTCCTTGTGGTTATTGGTAGGTTGTCTTACTACCTGAGTCTGAGATTTCTCTGCTACAACTGCTACTGTCCTTGCCCCAAATAAGTGTCAGAAAGGATGAGAATTCGTATCTTCGAAGCTCTAGCTGATTTGTTAAGAGGATTTGTTAAGAGAGATGTTGAACAAATAGACCCACAGACACACTGCATCTCTTTTGGAAGGTAGTATTTAAGTTTCTTCTGTTTTTATGTGTAAAACATTTTAAACACACTTCCACTACTCAAATGTCCATAGGGCCTAGCAAATTTGGCCAGATTACAGGTAAGAGAGAAGGAAGACGGCTGTGGCAAACTGGAGAGATTGGGCCCTTCCTAAAAGAATTAAAATTATATTAAAAAATTTTTTAATTAAAGATTTTATTTATTTATTCATAAGAGACACACAGAGAGAGGTTGAGACATAGGCAGAGGGAGAAGCAGGCTCCATGCAGGAAGCCCAATGTGGGTCTTCATCCTGGGTCTCCAGGATCACGCCCTGAGCCAAAGGCAGAGGCATCCCAAGATTATATTAAATTTAAAGAAAAGAAATAAATCGTTTACAAGTTTTCAACCTCTTCTCTCCTTCCCATTAATCTTACCTCTTTTTTTTTTTTTTCTGGCAACTGAAAGGGAAGGAGAACACCTTTCAGTTGTTACCTTTCTTGAAATGGTTCATTCTAACCCAATTAATTCAGCCTGACCTCAACATTCGTGGATTCTTGCATTTCCCCTATGAATCCATCTACTATCTCCATCTAACTTCCCAAATTCCTGATGACAAATAATATTCCTAGTCATAATTTATTGAGAACTTAAATGCATACTAATTAATTTTTTCAGTGGCATTTAACTCTCATAAGTAGTGCTTACATTTTACAAATAAAAATAAGGAGACTTAGAGAAGGTAAGTAATTTGTCAAAAGATGTACAGTTAGCAAGTGGGCAGTTCTAAGATTCAAGCACAAAGGGTTCAACCTCATGCTCTTAACCATGAAGTTTAATCTTGTTGGAAAAAGTTAACCCCTATTCAAGGGAAATGAGTGGCAAATGCTGGCTCCCTTTTGTTCAACAGCTGCCAGAGGGGAAAGTTTCATGGAAAAGTATCTCCACTAAATCTTTCTATTTCTTTAACCATTACATTAAACAGTAACATATCCTTGTTAAACATAATCTCTCTCGACTTTTTTTTTTTTTTTAAGTAAGGTCTATGCCCAACATGGGGCTTAAAATTATGACCCCGAGATCAAGAGTCACATGCTTTACCAACTGAGCCAGCCAGGTGCCCCAAACATAATCTCCTTTTTTTTTTTTTAATTTTTTTATTTATTTATGACAGTCACACACACACACACACACAGAGAGAGAGAGAGAGAGAGAGAGGCAGAGGCAGAGACACAGGCAGAGGGAGAAGCAGGATCCATGCAGGGAGCCCGACGTGGGACTCATCCGAGGTCTCCAGGATCACACCCTGGGCTGAAGGCGGTGCTAAACCGCTGAGCCACCAGGACTGCCCTCCCCTAACATTTCCACCAGAAATTTAGCTTTCTCTATCTCTAGTGAAAGAAAGCCAGTCGGCTTCTTACATTTATGTCACTTTCTGATTATTATTCTACATCCTCTGTCCTCCCCTAATTTGAATTGAATGTCAGTAAGTAATATTGACCCTCTCTCTGTTCAAGCCACTCCTATATCTTCCAGAAACAGTGCCCACTTACACTTTCTGAATGAGGTCATCTAGGGCTCATCAATCTCCTTATCATTTTTATAGTTTCATCATCTCTAGTTATCTATGCCATGACCTCATTTTTATTCCATCTCTCAAAATTCAAACTTCCAGGACTCCAGTGCAACAATAATCAGAAGTCTAATGAACTTGAGATAACCAGAAATTCATATATTGTAAGCATTAGTAATATAGAAGTCCAGATCCTATCTGTTCTGCAAATTAATGTATGGCTAATATTAAAATTTGTAGTCTGCTTTTTTCCAAAATATATTATATTCCTATTATACACCATCTCTGGTTTCCTTCTTTTCCCCGTTAGTGACAATTTTAAAAAACAATTTGTTTTCCAAACACTAAATGACAACTTGGGTTTAAAAAATGCTGTGGTATGTGCTGTTAAAAACAAAATACAACTTAGAAAATGTGAAGCTCCAATTGGCTTTATTCAGCAAGACATGAATCAGGCAGGATCCCAAGTAACAAATAGAAGGTAACTTTAAGAGCTGCTGGAATGGAAAGACTTTTAAATACAGAAAGAGATAGAGCAGGGAAATCATGAACAAAAGGAAGGATTATTTCAGGCAGAGTCACATTCCTTTGGGGGAAGGCAGAGTGGATTACCTCACTAGTGCTGGCCTGGAAATTTCAGACTCACTGGTTAAGATTATATTCCCAAGAGAGGTTGGAACTGCAGTCAGGTTAGGTAGATATTAAGTCTTGGTTTACCGACATGGGGCTTAGCCCAAGTGACTCCATTTTAGGTGTGCTGTTTCTTTTTTAACAATATCAAATATCAAGTCATCCCTCCTCATCCTTGCTTTTGTATCCCCACTTAAACCATCATAATTTAAATTCTGTTACTTTAAACTTTGGCCCTTATAATAGTCTCTTGTCTACCTCTTTACCATTTCTTCCCCATCTGTTAACCTTCTAAAATACAGTAATAACAATCGTGAGGAATGATATTCATAATTAGATGGCTGCTTGCTTTGCTTATGGACACTTCAGAGATGCAGAATGTTGGAGAGGGTGCCCTCACCACCTGCTGAATTACACCCAAGGTCTCAGGAACTGGAATCTCTACCTTCAGAAATGGGAGATCCAGCACAGAAATGGAATGAGAAAGTGTCATTGAAGGGTTTATGAACCTTTTGATGATTTCTCAGAAAATGTACATACACATATACATTTGCACAGAATTTTGAGTGTGATTTCAAAGAGATTCTCAGAAACCCTCTTTGTCTTGAACACTGGGGAAAGAACTCTTGTTCCAGACATTATAAAATTTATTTTTGAATAATGTAACATAACTCTTTCAACACAAACCAGACAGCTGTGCAATTGGACCAAACGGTTTATATCCCTTATAGTATTGTTTCTGCCAAATTGTCCCATCTGCTTTTGGCTTGCATAATAGACAACAGCAAGAATTTCTTTTCTATCTATTTGTAAAGGCCCTCTTCCATCCTTTATACATAGACTATACAAATGCACACCATGTCTTACATATTATTTCGTAGGTTAACAAATGCATGGAGTCCAGTGTAAAGTTCCATGGACTCTAGGTTAACAATGATCTATAAAGAATAAACTAGTTCTTTGTAAACAAAACTCTCTATATTTCTCACACTCTTACACTCTCTTATCATTTCATAAATTCTTTCAGTGTTCTATATAACTTGTACTAAAGTGAAACAAAATGAGATGGTTTTGTTTTGACTATACCTTCACAAAAGTGTTAGGATTTAGGCCTAAAGGTTGGTATGGGGGTGCCAGTGATAATCAGAATGAGAAAATTTCTTTATGAATGTGGTTTTCCTCCTTCAATTACTTGGAGATTGTTTCCAGAACATTCTGAATTTAGCTTTAATTAAGAGAATCAGTGTTAATTTTCATTATCGTTTTGTTTCCTCTAACATTTCTCTGTCATTTCAGTGACCATTGAAAAATCCAAAATAAACTTCATACCCTGGCACTTTAGGTACTTCAACTGTTCCCACCTATTGCTACAGTTCCAACAACTCCTCTTCTTCTACACATAGGCCCATGCTGCTGTTAAACCACAGAAGCCTGTCTTCTTTCAAGTGGTACTGAGTTTCCTAATCTGTGTGCCACTTTTTATTTGTTTGATTATGCCAGGAATTTGATATTCTCAGATGCAGTGAGTATTGAAAACATTATTGTAACATGTTAATACATTAGACAAATATTAAATGACACCTAAAGATGATTATGTAATTATAAAACTGGCATATATACATATATATATAGTCTTATATATTCATGTATTTCAACACTAACCTCACCTTCTATAGTCTCATGATACTTAAGATGTGCTTTGCTTTGTATTTTCTAGGCCATTGTTTGTGGTATTCTCCCTTCCTCCATATTTCATCTGCCTGCTATCCCTTTCCCATGTAGTGACCCTATTTGGAGAAGGCTGGTTTCTACTCTTCTCATGAGTTCCGCTGGCACCCTATTCCAAAATCTATTATATCACACCTCATTTAACTCCCTGTTCATTGTCTTATTTCATCATTGTGTCCCCAGTGCCTAAACAGCACCTAGCATGTAGAAAGCATTCAAATAAATGAAAGTTGATGATATTGAAATATAGGTATAATTGAGGGCACCTGGCTGGCTCAGTCCGTAGAGCACACAACTCTCGATTTCAAGGTTGTGATTTGGAGCCCCATGTTTGGCATAGAGTTTACTTAAAATAAAATAAAATAAAATAAAATAAAATAAAATAAAATAAGTATAGGTAAAATTGGTTTTGAGGAGTTAAATGATAATAGGTATTGAAAGTCATAAAAAATACTTATACCTTTGACCCTATACTTCAGGAGTCAAAAAGTTGAATGCTTTCAACGGTCACACAAATGATGTAAATGTGCCATGTGGACTGAGGGAAGGCAGTGGAAACAGGA